CCAATCGTATTCGTTCTGTGCCTGGCCCAGGAATGTTTTGTGCTGTGCCTCTGTGATGCCACACATGTCTAATAAGAAAATGTTCGCAAGTCTTTCGAAACCTGCGCGTTGCCGCCTGTGAGGTCCTTCAGCTTCTCGTATGAGTCTCTCCTTCGCTGGATAAAGTCCTTTATCGGTTCGTTGGGCCGCCGATGACCACGCTTGAAATAATCTAGGAACGCCTTGTGCTTCTGTAGCGGGGCCACCTTCTCGCAATGTGCCCGCACGCATTTGATCAAAACGTCGAGTGCCTCCTCGATTGCCTTTTCCTTCTCGTCTGCCGTGTTGCCCTTCGTGAACAACCTCGTGAAAGCCGAAACTGATATCTTCTCATCCTTGTGGCTCAGCGTCCACGCTTTGTCTGTGAGGCCGTTCTTGACCTGTGCAATGAAACTGTGATTCTTCTCTGCTGTCTCTGCGCCCAGAAAACCAAGCCGTACTCTTTCATCACATTTGTCTGCTGAAGCTGCGTCTCCATCATAACAAGGTATGCCGTCTTTGTCTAGCCAAACATGTGCACTCTTCCGTCTATCTTGTACCTGCGCCATGGTGTCGAAATCTGGTGGGTCTTTGAACTCTGCGATGTCCTTGAACTCTGTGAGGTCTATGAACTCTGTGAGGTCTGTGAACTCTGTGAGGTCTTTGAACTCTGTGAAGAACTCTGTGAGGTCTTTGAACTCTGTGAGGTCTGTGAGGTCTGGAAACTCTGTGACGTCCGACTCTGTGAGATCTGGGAACTCTGTGATGTCAGCCTATGTGAGGTCTGTGAACTCTGTGAGGTCGGTGGTCGAGAACGGGTTCTCGAAGGTGAGTGGTTGCCCGAACTTCGCAGAACAGGTCTTGATATGCAATAGCGTTATGAAACTGCACCAATGGAATAGCATAGGCCGTCTCGAAACGCACAGCTCCGCACTACCAGTGTCAATGTTAGTGATTATGAGCCTCTTTTCTTCGAGCTGTAAGATCCGCTCGGTCGATCAATATGAAATGGTGCTGGTCGCACCACACACACACAGCTGATGAAATCAGGGAAACCCCAGTCAAAGACTGGAACACATCTGATAACTTGTTATCGCTGTCTGGCTCGAAAAGGGGATCCCCTGATATCGTTTGAGAAGCAAACGGCCATGGAAACCCAACATGACATATCATGCAACATAAAACTCCTCAAGCCCCTCGACAAGGGCGTTCAACTCAATAGCTGCTTATCTACTGCGTTTCGGGCTGTCCCTGAAACTCTCACCTTCACACAAGAGGGACCCAAGACGGCCCAAGAGGCCTCCAACACGCCCAAGATGGCCTCCAAGACGCCCAAGATGGCCTCCAAGACGGCCAAGATGGCCTCCAAGACGGCCCCGAAGCGCCCCAAGAGGGCCCCAAGTCGGCCCAGAAAGGCCCCCAAGACGGCTGCCTCCAAGATGGCCCCAGAGCAGCCCAAGAGGCATTCAAGACGGGCCCAAGAGAGCCCCAAGGCAGCCCAAGAGGCCTCGAAGACGCCCAAGATGGCCTCCAAGACGGACCCGAAGCGCCCCAAGAGGGCCCCAAGTCGGTTCAGAGAGGCCCCCAAGACGGCTCCCGACGGCGTCAGACGGGCCAGGAACGCCATAAGACGGCCAAAGAAGCCCCCGAGAAGCCCCAAAATGGCCCCATGAGGCCCTCAAGAGGCCCCAAGAGAGCCCAAGATAGCCCCAACATGGCCTCCAAGACGGTCCCAAGATGGCCCAATCGAGCCCAAGAGTGCCTCAAGAGGCTTCGAAGAGGCATCCTCCCCCTTCTCCTGTTCCTTCTCCTCCTCCTCCCCTTCCTCCCCCCTGCGTTCCCCGAAACCTTTCCAAACCGACTCGGGGATCGCATGGTCCGACAGCTTGGCCAAGCTCTAGCCCAGCTGTCGGACCCATAGGCGCTTCCACAAGGGCAGGGGCCGTAGGCGTCCCCGATCCGCCGCCCCCTGTTGGCTTGCCACAGGGGTGCCCGCCGTGCTGGATCCTGTCGATTTGGGCTGTTTTAGAAGAACTCCCCTGGGGGCTTCGGCCCGTCCCGCCGGCCACTCGGAAAAGTGCGCAAAAGGTGGCTGCAAAGGGTTTTGCGCCTCCAGACGGCTCCAAGATGGCCCAAGCTGGCCTCCAAGATGCCTCCAAGATGGCCAACATGGCCTCCAAGACGGCCTGAGAGGGTCCAAGATACTTCCAGATACGCCCAAGCAGCCTCCAAGACGGCCCAAGACTGCCCAAGAGCTGTCCAAGAGGCCTCCAAGACGGCCCAAGAGGCCTCCGAGCTCCAGGAGGGCCCGGAGATGCTAAAATCAGTGATGTTCCTTTTGCTTGTTTGAGCGATGTCGGCCTTCCGACGACCCAAGACGGCCCAAGAGGCCCCCAAGATCGCCTCCAGAGCGCCCAAGAGGCCTCCAAGACTGCCTTGGGACTGCCCAAGAGGCCCCCAAGACGGCCCCAAGAGGGCCCAAAGACGGCCCGAGAGGCCTCCAAGACGCCCAAGGAAGCCTCCAAGAGTGCCCTGGAGCACCCCAAGAAGGCCCTAAGTCGGCCCAGAGAGGCCCTCAAGACGGCTTCCGACGGCGTCAGACTGGCCAGGAACCCACCAAGACGGCCCAAGATGGCTCCAAGATGCCCTAAGCGGCCTCCAAGAGAGCCTCCAGGAAGGCCCGAAGAGGCCAAATTCATTGATTATCCGTTGGTTTTTGAAGGAGTTTTGGCATTTGCTTCTTTTCGGCCTTCCGACGGCCCGAGACGGCCCAAGAGCCCCCAAAGATCGTCCCAAGATGGCCCAAGAGGCCCCCAAGATGGCCCCAGAGCAGCCCAAGAGGCATCCAAGACGGGCCCAAGAGAGCCCCAAGGCAGCCCAAGAGGCCTCCAAGACGTCCAAGATGGCCTCCAAGACAGTCCTGAAACACCCCAAGAGGGCCCCAAGTCGGCCCAGAGTGGCCCCAAAGACGGCTTCCGACGGCGTCAGACGGGCTAGGAGCCCACCAAGATGGCCAAAGAGGCCCCCAAGAAGCCCCTGAAGGCCCCCAAGAGTCCTCCAAGAGGGCCCCCAAGATGCCTCCAAGAGGCTCCAAGGAAGCTCCCAGGAGGCTCCAAGAGTGTCCCCAGAGGCTCCCAAGATGCCCCCTCTTCCTCCTCCTTCTCCTCCGCCTCCTCCTCCTCCTCCTTCTCGTCCACCTCCTCCTCCTCGTCCACCTCCTCCTCCGCCTCCTCCTGATCTTCCCCGCCATCCTCCCCCACGTGTTCCCCGAAGGGTTTCCACAACGGCTGGGGGAACACATGGTCCGATAGCTTGGAAGAGCTCTTGCCACAACGCTCGGTCACATGGGCGATTCTAGAAGGCAGGGGGCGGCGGTGATTCGCCGTGGGCGTCTTCGATATCTGTCACGCCGCAGATGGCAGACTCCTCCCCCTGTAGAAAGTCGCGTCACGGCGCACTTGGCGTCAGCTTCACCCTGCAGCAGTTATGTCACAGCGCATATGGTGTCAGCCTCCCGCCCGGAACAAATGCGTCACCCACGTTCGGCACACCTCTCGCACGCTTCGTGGCCCTAATATGGCGTTAGCAACAATATGCGTCGCGGCGCACATTGGTCCAACAGGAATCCAGAAAACCCATGCGTCGCAGACGTAATGTATTCCCTTTGCACAAGTCGCCAGTTCGGGCCTCCCAAAGCCTACCCTGGGCTACGCCCCAAACCCAAGGGGCCCAGAACAGAACAAGTATGAAGACCTGCGCTCTCGGCGCACATGGCATAAGCGTCCCCCTGCAAAACAACGTGCCACTGCTCGAATGGCGTTGGCGTTTGTGCCCCCCCTGCCCCCAAAAAATGCCACGGCGCACATGGCGGTGACGCCCCCTGCTAAACCCGTGTGACGGCGCACATGGCGTCAGCACCCCCCTGCAAAGAATGCATCACGGCACACATAGCGTCAGCATCCCCCCCTGACACACATGCGCCATTCACGTTCGGCACGCTCCTCGCGCGCATCGGGGCCCCATGGGCAGCTCCACCGAAGGCCGGGTGGTGCCATGCCGGTGCACCCCTCACACGCTTTGGTGGCTTTACAAGGAGCTCTGCCTACCGCCTCGGTGAGCGCGTTCGCGCGGGAGCCCCCTGCCCAGTTCGGCGCACCCCTCACGCGGATCGTGCCCCACATGGATTTCATCGTGTTTCGTAGCCGCCTATCCGCACTGCCCCGCGGCGGGCGCGTTCTATGTGATGAGAGGACCACAACGTGCGCTGCACGCAGCTGCACAAGGTGGGGCCCTTCGCGCCAGGATAAGCTCAGACGACGTGGCCCGAGGCATCTCCCCGCGCGGGCGTCCTCCATGCCTCATAGCCAGGCTCCACGTTCCAGAGTGTCCGCGAGCCAGCCTCACAGCCCGACGGCGGTAAACACCGCTGTCAGCGACCCCCTCTGGAGAGCAACGCCAGGGGAGCACCCCGTCCTGTGTGGGCGCGTGCCTGCGAGGCTGGTGCTCCATGCCTGCCAAAACCACCAACAGACAAAGCGCCCCCCCTCTCACGATTCGGGGGCCGACTGGCACTTGTCATCGCCCTTCCAGTTCCTGCACACAGTGGAGACGCTGAACGGCACTGCTGCCATGAAGGGATCGCCATCTTTCACCTCCTCCCCTCCCTGCTCCTTCTCCTCCTTCTTCTCCTCCTCCCTGCTCTCTCTTTTCTATATATATATATATCTCTCTCTCTATATCTTTCCTCCCCCCTCCCGCAGCACGTGCTCGGAGAGCGTGCGCGGGGGGGACGAGAAGGAGAGAGGAGGCAGGAGGGAGGGAAGAGGAAGGGGGATGGAGAAGAGAGGATGGCAGAGGAACAGGAGAAGGGAGGAAGAGGCGGAACCCCCCTCTCTTCTCCACCTTGGCTCATCGCCCACCCTCCCTTCTTCACTCGGGATTCTCGTCCTTTGTCCCTTCTCCGGCCTTCCCCAACCCTCCGCCTCTTGCAGGTCTTGTCTCCCCACAGGTAGTCCGGCATCGCTCTCTTGTACTCCTCGCCGCACTCCTTGTCCTGCTTTGCGCGGGGTCGCCTCCCCCACGAGAGGAGGAGGGGCTCGATCACGACGTCCGAAGACGAAGGAAGGACCTAGCAGGCCTGAGCTGGATCGAATCGCGAAGTCGGATCGGATCGGAAACGGTTCGAATCGCCTGCGAATCGTCCCGAATAGGATCGAAATCGGATCGTCGCGCATGGCTCCGGCAAATCCCGGCCGATACCAGTGAATCGAGCCGAATCGAATCGAATCGGAAACGCGGCCCCAGCTGGCGAATCGGATCGCATCGAATGGGAATGTGAGCGTTTTCTTATTCGGCGTTTCGACGTTGGGCGGAAGGGGGGAGGAGAGGGGGGGTCTGGCTCTGGACCTCAGCTTGATACGACTGTTTGCAACACTGCGTCCTAGGGGGGAGACTCCAGCTGCTCCAAACAGGCGCCAAAAACAGCCAAGATCTACTCCACAGGGGGTTGGGGGAATGGGGAGTGCGAGGGCCCGCGCCGATCGGCAAAACAATGAATAAGAAAACGATCACAATGTAGGCGCCCTGCCTAGGTGTTCGGATGCTCTTGCTGTTCTGAGGCCTTCAAAAGCTTCGGAGAGGAGCAGGAGAACATTAAAGTAGGAGTTCTTCACGCGGCGCCTGGAAACGTCCAGCTCTGGAGCAAGAGAACGTGAAGCCTGAGACGGAAATCCCGATTCCGTCTGAAAGGAGTTGCCCCTTCATCCGTGTAGCTGCGGGAGACAACGACGACGACGACGACGACGACGACGA